TAAATATATTAATACGTAAATTTTATAACTGCATTTTCTCTGATTACTATTTATTATAAACATTCTAAGCTCATTGGTTACGCTATAACACATACGTGTTTGTTTTGATGTTGTTGCATGAAAAGGGCACCGCTTAAAATATCTTCAACTTTTCTCACACGGACATATTTGACCTTTCGGCGATGCGGGGGGTGCTGGAGGATACTAGCAAGTCTTGCTCCCTTCAGTTGCATGGTGTACTCATAAGAAAGCGCTTCAACTACCATAAATATTTCGAATTCATCCCTATTTTAAATTTTAAAGTTTCCTATTTTAAAAATCACAAAAGTGCACAACCATTCTCTTCTGTGAATTCACACACATTTTTTTGCTAACACAAAGGGTTTCTTATACCAGTAATTTAATAAATATGAAAAAAAGTGTTTGTCAAGAAAAAAAGAAAGTTGATGGCTTGTTCAAAAGCTAATAATTTGTAAAAATAAATTAAAAAAGAAACTGTCATAAAAAATAGTCCAAGATGGTCAAAAAAGCAGGTCCAGTCATCAAAACAGCGCCAGTCGCAACCCACGGAGCTGGAGGCATACCGTGTTTTTGTTGTCGCTGCTTCACTTGTATCCACATAGAATTTCTCAAGACCCTGCCAGGAATGGTTAAAGCATCAGAAGTGGTAATAATATAATACCATTTGTTATTTTCGATGCAATAGCAAGCACTTTTCGCTCATTAAAAAAATTTTCTCGCAGGTCATCAATTTTATCATCCAGGGTCTGTTACTTAAATACGGCTTGCTCTACCACGCACAAATCGGATCTGCCTTCGAAGGTGCATTAACAACTTCGTCCGCGTGTTTTTTAAACTCATCAATTTTGCTGTTGTGTTACATGTGCTCCGAAAAATCCTACAAACTCATCCAGTCTTCGCAGTTTGTAAGTTTTAGTAGTCAATATAGGATATTTATTTATTCTCGTCCTCTCAAGAGCACATTTTTATTTTACTCTTTTTCACTTTTTCAGGAAATGATATTTAATTTCATTGCCTGCTGCTTTTGCTTGAGTTCAGCATCGTGTCTTGGATTTGCAACAACAGTGTTCCTTTGGCCCCTTTATATCATAACACCTGGGTTTTATGTTTATCCAGCGATGACAACAGCTTACGTAAGTGCTTAAAGAAACATTATTATCTTTTATAATATTTGTGACAAATGCATGCAATAGTATATTTTTTTATCGAGTTGAAGTTAACATGTACTAAAGCTTGATTTTTAATCTATCTGTATCAAACTTTGTATAAAACTTATTAAAAATTCGATGCAAGTATTATATCTAAAGAAAAGCTATGATTAATGAGCTTAAGATCAAATTGTTTAATTTTTCCTCATTACATGTATGAGATGTTTAAAAAATTTTTTTTTATTTTTATTTTAAAAGAGATAAAATATGTTTTATA